AGTCTCAGCCACTTGGAAGGCTAGCCAAGAGAATCACTTAAGCCCAAGAGTTTGAGGTTGCTGTGAGCTGTGATGCCACAGCACTCTACCAAGAATGACAAAGTGAGATTATCTCAAAAAAAAAAAAAAAATAGTCCAAGAACTCAGCTAAAATGTGGCCCAAATAAGTGTGTAAGAAGAGACCCCATTTAGCTGGCTGGCTATAGTAGCAGGTGCGCTTAGGGAGATTGAGGCAGGAAGATCTCTTGAGCCCAGGAGTTTGAGGTGGCAGTGAGCTAGGATTATACCACTGCACTCCAGACTGGGTGGCAGAGTGACCCTATCTCAAAAAAAAAAAGAATATATATATTTTTTTCTTCTTTTTGGAGACAGGGTCTCACTTTGTCACTCTCAGTAGAGTTCCGTGGCATTATAGCTAATAGCAACTTCAAACTCTTGGGCTGACGTGATTCTCTTGCCTCAATCTCCTGAGTTGCTGGGACTACAGATGCCTACCACAATGCCCAGCTATTTTTAGAGATGGGGTCTCACTCTGGTTCAGGCTGGTCTGGAACTCCTGAGCTCAGGCAATCCACCCGCCTTGGTCTCCCAGAGTGTTAGGATTATAGATGTGAGCCACCACACTCGGCTTTAAAAAAAAAAATTCTGTGGTAGTGACCTTATCCACTGGCCCAGATGTGACAGTGGCCTTGTAAGGAAGCAACTGTAATCCTGGTGCAGTATTTGGCTCTGGTGACTATTACATTTCCATTCGTAATTTAAATTATTTGTGGTTTGATTCTGGAGTTGATCTGAAAAGAACTAAAGTATGGGGAATTCACAAGACAGAATGGAAATGATCTTGAACTGAAATGTGAAAATAAAGCTGCTCTAACAAGTGAGGAGTCAAGTGTAAAGAAGAGGGAACCCTGAGTAGGCTGTCACTCAGCTTAGAAGAAACAGCAGAGAGAACCATTAGATGCAGGATGAGGCTGGAGAAGGGATCAGTGTAGGATAAGATTCTTCTCTTTGCTTACGTTCAACTGCTGAAGTTTGATGTAAGAATCTCCAAAACAACTGAAAACCTTAGCAATGCCTCCTGGGAAGGGGACACTAACTTTGTGAGTAGACTGTGACTTTTCATATTACCTGTCCCCTATTCCTGCTGCCATATTCTTATGTTAATTTTATAAATTCAGTTGGTAGTTTTAAAACTAAAACTTGTAATACAACCCAATAAACTGGCATTGCTTTAAACAGTATAAGTGTAGTTATAGTCTTAGCTTGATCTGGAATGGTTGTGTGTAACTTAAGTCTATGTTCAATTCTGAGATGTCAAGTTGAATGAGAATTCAAGAGTAGGGAGTTGGATTCTATTATTCCTGAGTTCAGATCCCTGCCGTTTGACCTCCCTAAGCCTCAGTTGCCTCATCTGTAAAATGGGGATAATGGTACTCACTGATAGGATTGTGAAAACCGAGTGAGTTAATACAGGTAGTAAGGGGTGTCATTCTTGGGAGATTGAAAGAGGACCTGGCCACATCATGTGGCCAGCTGTGTTGATGTGGATGGGGAGGAGGGATCTGTGTTGCCTGCCTGCTCTAATGGAAACACACCTTCTGTTGCTAGGGGACACCCCCTTCCAGTGCTGGCTTTGTAGTGCCAAGTTCAAAATCAGCTCGGACTTGAAAAGGCACATGATTGTGCACTCAGGGGAGAAGCCCTTCAAGTGCGAGTTCTGTGACGTCCGCTGCACCATGAAGGCCAACCTCAAGTCGCACATCCGCATCAAGCACACATTCAAGTGTCTGCACTGCGCCTTCCAGGGCCGGGACCGGGCTGACCTCCTGGCACATAGCCGGCTGCACCAGGCCGACCACCCGGAGAAGTGTCCCGACTGCAGCTACTCCTGTTCCAGTGCGGCTGCCTTGCGTGTGCACAGCAGGGTCCACTGCCAGGACCGTCCCTTCAAGTGTGACTTCTGCAGCTTCGACACCAAGCGGCCCAGCAGCCTGGCCAAGCACATCGACAAGGTGCACAGGGATGAGGCCAAGACGGAGAACCGGGCCCCACAGGCCAAGGAAGGGCCCAGGGAGAGCAGCTCTCCACATGTGGCCAAGATAGTGACCCAGAGGGCCTTCCGCTGTGACACCTGTGGTGCCTCCTTTGTCAGGGATGACTCTCTGAGGTGCCATAAGAAGCAGCACAGTGATCAGAGTGAGCACAAGAACTCAGACCTGGTCACCTTCCCTCCTGAAAGCAGCGCCTCTGGCCAGCTTGGCACCCTGGTCTCCGTGGGACAGCTCGAGACTCCCCTGGAGCCCAGCCAAGACCTCTAGTTCAGCCAAAGGATTGTCTGCTGGTGGGAATTCCAGACAAATGCTGTTGCTCAGACCTCCAAGGCGAGGCCGTTCAGCCAGACTCTGGGCATGGCACAGAGCTGGCTGCTCCAGCTGAAAGGCCTGCCAAGCCATGGCTGGGGTGACAGTGGTGTGAGGACGAAGCAGTGCCATGGAGACACTTCTCCACAGCCCCATCTTCCCTCGAAGAGTTCCCTAAGCAATCTGACTGACTGTTCATAGGCTCCCTGGGAACTGCTCTATCCCATACAGATAGCTGCTCCGTGATAGATTCCAGTTTTAAAACTGATCCATCTCTGATGGAATTAAGCTAGTTAGGTGACAGAGAAAACTTAAACGAAACTTAGTGGGAAACTCCCCTTAAGTGGAAAGATCCTCGGAGGGTCTAGGGTGGCTGGAGAAGTTCTGTTTCTTAACCTGGGTGGTCATTATGAGTGTTCGCCTTACACCTTTGTGTGGTTTCTTGCCATTGTCTTACAATAAAGGCAAACTCTTGGTAGAACAATGTAAAAGGAGCACTCAAATCTCTGCATTCCTCCATAGAGAGGTGATAGGGTGGGGGGTCCTCAATCCCTCACCGGTTCCGCAGCTTAATTATAAATGCATGTGGGATTTGCAGTGAGTACCGCAGCAAAGCGACGCACAATGTGACCTGCAGGGGGCGCCAAAGATCAAGCCAACAGTAACACAGCCTGTACTTAACAAAATCATTGAATTCAAAATTCCGTGTATTTTTATTTGTGAAAAAAAACGTGGGAGGCCCAGGTATGGGCCCCGGGCGCTTGGTTCTGGGATATATGATGTGTGGTACAACTTCAGACCAGCATCTTTTTCATCACAGAAAACAAACAACTGAAAATCCAACCTTCTCATAAATGGACCTTTTACTTAAGCTTTTAGGAGGCTATGGAATTTGAGTGGATATATAACTTGCCCAAGTTGCTTTATTTGATCTACTTTTTGCCATTTTTTTCAAATGCTGCCTTTTTAAAATATAAATTCTTGTGTGCCCTTAAGCTAAACATCTGTGATTTTTAAAACATTAAATGGAGCCGTTGTTTTTGGTAAACTAGGTAAAAGGATTATGAACGCAAGCTTTTATAGACCATATACAGGGGACTGTCTTACTTATGAAATAGTTACATAGCTTATTTTGTTAATGACAGTTTGGACAAATCTGTTTTACGACAGGTATACGATAGCATATTATTTGAATCTCTGTTGTAAGAAAAAAGATTAAAATAATGATGGCAGAGACCTAAGGTAGAATTCATCACTTCTTTGCTTTTGAGCTATTCTTTCTGACCAGAAAAGTGTGTGGTTACTGAAGGCGGGTGCTGTGGTACAGATTCTATTGTTAGTTTGCTGCTGTCTGTCATGAGTCTTATCTGCGTCTCTGTTCTAGAAACAGAAGGGTTGTTGACCTTTTAAGTGGGAACCCATTGATCGAAATCACATAAACGTCCCCTTGTACTTCTGGTGTTATAGGTCTTTAGTTAAACAGGAAAGATACCAATCTTTTGAAAAGACAGCGATTTCGTTGACATGTACATGGACGTCAAGGCTTTTAGATCCAACCTGGTATCTCCGAGCAAATTTGGATTCCAAATAGAGCAGAGATGAGCAAAACACTCTGGGCTAGATATTATTAAATACAGGGCACCTAAAAAATTGCACACAAACTTTATGGCCACCCTGTATTGTAGGCATTGGTGAGCCATAAGTCCCTTATGACTACCTAGCTCTGATTTTAGCACTAAATCAACCATAGACTATAAGAAAAAAGTGTCTGTGTATCAATGAAACTTTATAAAAACAGGTGCCCCGCTGGATTCTGCCCAGTTCATTATAAACCAAACCTTGCTAGAGGGCTCTGATCTGAAATGAATTAGCAGGCGGCGCCAGTGCTTAGTGGGTAGGGCACCGGCCACATACACCAAGGGTGGTGGGTTCAAACCTGGCCTCGGCCAGCTAAAACAACAATGACAACTGCAACAACAAAAAAGAGCTGGGCATTGTGGCGCGCGCCTGTAGTCCCAGCTACTTAGGAGGCCAAGGCAAGAGAATCGCTTAAGCCCAAGAGTTTGAGGTTGCTGTGAGCCATGATGACGCCAGTGTACCCCAGCCTGGGTGATAGTGAGACCCTGTCCTTGGGAAAAAGATTTCTAGAGATAGGAGTTTTTTCTTGGTGGTAAAACCGGAAGGGGGTTTTGGCCTCAGTCTAGTTGCTTGTCAAACAACGATCCAATTATTAAGATGAGAATGGCCGAGGAAAAGAGGAATTTAATACTATAGACGTCCTGTTGGGAGATTGGAAAAGCCACCTCAGATCCACTTCTCAGACCAATGGATATCATGGGTGTTTAAGGTGGGGCCATGTGCCTTGGGACTGGGCAAGGGGGTGATGAGTCCTGGCCTTAGAAGTCTGCCCAGAGGCCTTCGGAATCTCCTTTGTCTTGGAAAAAATTGTCAAACCTGGACAACTCTCTAAAGGTCAAGAAGGGGTGGCACCTGTGGCTCAAAGGAGTAAGGTGCTGGCCCCATATGCTGGAGGTGGCGAGTTCAAACCTAGCCTAGGCCAAAAACTGCAAAAAAGTCAAGAAGTTACATGAAAGGATTATAAAACATATACAAGGGGTTATTGAAATTTGTTCACGGAGCTGGTTAGGCCACAGATGGATGTGTCCCGGGTTAGGTGTTGAGGAAAGAATGGATCCTTCTGGCCTCTGTTCAGATCAACTGTCAAATCCCCAGTGAAGAGTCCAGAGATCAAGGCTGTACACTTTTGCTTCTCTGCTCAAGGTCTCTTGCTGCTTTTTAGATGCTGTAGAACATGTGTTTTAAATTTATTCCTGTATAAAGCACTTCTATGAGGAAGTATGGACCCCAACGCCTGTGGCCTTCATGACTCAGTGAGACACTGAACCCCCCCGAAATCCTGACACCACGTGGAGAGCTTGACCTGGTTTCACCTCCTGGAAGCTGGTGCTCTCCTGAGCTGAGACTAAGGTGAGGTTCAGCCCTGATCTCAGGCACAAAATTTAAGCGAGCACCAAAAACTTCAGTCATCAAATCATGTTTTAAAATCGTTAAGCTATAGCCCCATGGCTCAGTGGCTTCAAAGTTTTATCAGAGTTGCCCTGGGAATAGGGCAAGGCAGGGCCTTACAAGTGTGGGGTTGAAGTTTTGTTCGCTCTGGATTTCTTTTGCAGTCTTTTCTTTTTCTTTTTTTTTTTTTTGCAGTTTTTTTGGCCGAGGCTGAGCTTGAACCGGCTACCTCTGGCATATGGGGCCAGCACCCTACTCCTTTGAGCCACAGGTGCCGCCCTCTTTTGCATTCTTTAAAAAAAAAATGCATTCCAATATTTACCTTGATCTATAGAAATTCAGTACATCACCATAAATTTGTGCCTGAGGCCCCCTGCCTCTCCCACCACACCTAGTCCCCACCCCTCTTTCAAATGCAGATATTGAAGGATGAAAAGGAAGAAACTTCCTAAAACAAAACAAATCTAGAATTGTGAGAACAGAACAATCTCAAAGAAATTGCCTTTTTAAAATATATAACTGACAAAGACTGTATGTGTGCAATGGGAATACTGGATATACATAAGCCTCGTGTAATGACCGCCCCAGACTAACCACCATCACCACCCAGGCTAGGCCTGAGATCCCAGGACTTGTTCGTTGCTTAACCTAAACTATATCCTCGGATTCCCCAGCCCCTAGAGACTATCCTCCTGTTCTGAGAAACCACCCACCTTGTGGTGTAAGCTGGTGGAGCTGGACAAGGAAGTGGGATAAACCCCGCCTCATCCAGGCAGGGATGGAGAGCATCTGAGTCTCAGTTTGCTCACCTATAAAATGGGCCACGTCAGGCATTGGGCCTAACAATACAGTCTACTAGCTTAACAAAGCAGAAGTTGGCTTGCTTTTGCATCACTTTTTTAGAGGAAGAACTGCCAAGCAGTGGCCCTAGGCTTGGTGGAGATCACAGCCTTTCTTCCTACACCCCATCCCAGGTCTTCAACCGGGCAGAAGGGCGTGCCCCCTGCTCTTAACACTGCCGGAAAGTTGCACACACGACTTCTGCTCACCAACCCACGTTATGCCTGTGCAAAGGATGCTGGGAAGCAGATCCCTCTGGAATGGGCTTGTGCCTATTGCAACCTGGAAGGAGAGGCAGGACCAATGAGGGTCCTCTGCTGTCCTGGAGGCAATGGGCTGGTTAAAGGGTGGCGGTGGCTTTTCTCTGTTACCCTGGCACAGGCCCTGAAGACCCTGATGTATTCCTAATGCAGGTGTCTCTGTTGCATCAGGACTTATTGGGAGCACCTGTGCCTCCCTTGTGTCAGCCCGTGGCAGTCTTCCAGGCTAGTCTGCAGCTCTGGGCCAACTGTTCTCCACCGTCTGTACCTGGTGCAGTTCCCTGGGAGGCCTTTTAGCATTTGATCTCTCTGGGCCTGGGCATGTGTCCTTAGTAAAGTTTCATAGGTGATTCTCTCTCTTTTTTTTTTTTTTTTTTTGATCAACATATTTTAAGTGTGCTGCAAAGTTTAACCATGGGTTCAAGTGTGCCGTGAGATAAAAGGTTGAAAAACACTGCACTTGGCCACAATTAGGATAGGGAAGTATATGTTTATTTTGTATTAGAAAAAGGAAGGGAGTAGAGGGAAGAGATGAGAAGAGAGAAGAGAGCAGGGAGTGAGAAATGGGGAGATAGCAAGAGAGAGAGGAGGAAATGACACGGCATCCCCAAGGGGGAAAGAAAGAATGCCAGCCTCATAGGGGATCCTGTCGCCAGGGCAGGAAGAGCTGCATGGCTTGAAGAAGCTGGGCCATTTTTTGAGACAGAGTCTCACTATGTCGCCTGGGTAGAGTGCTGTGGCATCACAGCTCACAGCAACCTCAAACTCTTGGGCTTAAGCGATCTCTTGCCTCAGCCTCCCAAGTAGCTAGGACTACAGGTGCCCACCACAATGCCTGGCTATTTTTGTTGTTGTTGCAGTTGTCATTGTGTAACTGGCCTGGGCTGGGTTTAAACCTGCCAGCCTCTGTGTATGTGGCCAGCACCATAACCATTATGCTATGGCCACCGAGCCAAAGTTGGACCATCTTCATGAGCCTGTGACCTGTGCTGTCACAAGGGCCTGGTGTTCAGGAGGCCCTGCGTTTGGCTGCACCCTCTGCTGTGGCTGTGCAGATACTGAATTCTTTCATTTGTTACCCGGGCTGGAGTGCAGCGGCACGGTCATCGCTGGCTGCAACCTCGAGCTCCTGGGCTCACGTATTTAAATTCTTAGTTTCTTGAGTAAGGTGTCCTGCATTTTTAGTTTGCCTCAGGCTCTGCAAATTCTGTAGCCATTTTTAGGAAGGAAAGAGAACATACATGAGAAGGAAGGTTGCCTGCAACACTGGTAATCAAAGAGAGGCTGACATGTACAGAGGATTTTGTATGTATTTTGTAAAGTGTTGTGATGAATATTTGGTAAATCATTT